CATTGACATGTTTTGGGTTAATATTATTCATTTTGTATGTTGTGAAGTTGTTTGCAATATTAAACTGAAATATTTGAAGAAATAAAAATGATTATAGGCAAATGAAAAACAAAATCAATGTCGCTAAAGTTTGAACAGTGCACTTTCAGACCAGACAGACCTTATTCCCGCCCACACTCGGGCACCGAGGTAGATCTGGGCACACACATAATACACACTCATGGATGTACTCAAGCGCTGCTCCATAAAGCGAAAGAATGGAGTTCTTTTACAATTTTACAGGCTATAATTAAATAATTTATTTCCTGTGGCACTTTCTGCATTGGGTAATGCACCCAGAAAGCAATTCCGACTGTGTTATGGGTGGAGCACGCGTGTATTTATAGTGGCTCTGGGTGTTAGTGTTATAACAAGGAGGCAAAAGTAGACACAACCTTTTGCTTGCCACCAGCACATGACTGGTTTTAACATCTAGACAGGTTTTAAAAGAGAGCTTGCACAACCGCTCTGAAATAAAATAGACATTCACTTTTGCATGACAAGAATTCAAAAAAAAAAAAAAACACGTACAAGAGCAGACGTGAACATCCAGGCCACAGGTGCACATCAAACGTGAGTTTGACAGTTGTGTACTCATCACCAGACGTAAAATTGTTCGCTCAACGTGTACTTCTTAGTGCACTGTAATCCCATCTTTAAAGCTACAACAAGAGAGTGATCATTGCGGATAATACGCAGCTGCACATTTACTGTACTGTAATCACATAAGCAGAAGCCATTCTCTCTTTTATGTCTAGGTTTAAATGATTGCTGCGGCTTCACATCAACATTTTCTCCAGCCTTCATTTCACTGCATTATCCCTCACTTAAGCATTCTGGATGCCGGTATATGAGGTTAGCATGGGGCATTAAAACTTGCTTGACTCTTCATCTCATTCTAATGAAACAATTTCAGTGGCACCACAAAGGCATGTGTGTTTCAGAGGGATACAAAGAACAAGTAGATCTTGACTAGCAGAAGCTTCATTTAGGTCATTCTTGTTTGTGTTCCGTGTGATGCAACCACTTCATTTTACTCATTTTCTCTCTCAGCCTGATGGTAAGTGTTGACCTAAAACTAACATTGAGTTAAGTTGCTGAATAGGGAAATCATTTTCTGTGTGAGCAGAGAAAAGCTGCTCCACTTTCTCTCTGCCTGCATCCCCTAGAGAAGCCTGGTGAAGCGATGAGTTTACTGTAAATTACCTATGCAGTTGCCTATATGTTTATATTTTATAGAAACACATATTTACCACACATGCATATACATTTAAAAGTAGAAAACTTAAAAAAATGAACTTTTTCTGACTCAGGTCATAAAATATATTTCATTTATTACTCTAAGTCATTTTATTACCCCATGGGAAAACAAACAGTACCAGTGCTTTTTCTTTTTCTTTTTTCCTCTGAACTCAGAACAATGTCTCAAACCCTCTGGGATGTAGGCAAGAACTGCTGTGCTCAACCATTTATCATGAGCGGACAAGCGGATAAGCTATTTTTGTTTAACAAAGCTTAAACAAGAGAAAACGATATTTTTAAATTAATACACTAATGGACCCAGGAACCTAAAATGACCAATCGGTTCTGAGCAGGGGTGAGATCCATGTTCACAGGCCTGGCCAGATTTTGCATAAGCTATCATAAATCATGCATATGAGTGGGTCTCACAGTTTATTTTAACAATGGAAATGGAGGTTGTGCTTCAACAATGGGAGTCTCAAAGGAACAATAAAGCTCTAGGACAGCAGGTGCATTCAAAAAAAGTATGAATGGTAGCACATCTAATTCAGAAGTTACAGCAATGTTCCTGCATTCACTTTTTTGTCTGTTTTCAATCGGACTGCATCGGAGCTCAAACTGTGGGCTCAGTTTAAAACACATCAAGCTTGCATATTAAAAATGAAGACAAGACAAACAAAGACATCACCCCAACTAGGCTATTTCCATGATAAAGTTATTAATTATCTTCTTTGGCTGGTCTGAGTTCCTGGAGCAAATCATTGGCCAACCCTGGAGAGATCGCCAGACCTACGCAGGGTCAGACCAATACACAAATAACCTTATAAACCAGTCAGTTTAGAATATGCAAGTAAACTCAACCTCCAATCTGAGGAAGGAAAGTCAGAAAAACCGCAACACACATGGAAAGAGCATGCAGACATCAAAGAAGACGGGCCATTTGCCAGAGGTGGGATATGAAGGTTTTTTTCTGTGCTTCGTCTGCAGCAGCACTCAGCCCAAACCTAGTTTTGGTAGTTAAGATATGCTTATTTATTTATTATTATTATTATTATAACATTGCTCGTAGTAAAATTAACTTGAACTTTACCAATTCTACACAGTTTATCTATATATATTAATTCACTGTAGTGTTAGATAATTTTTAATCGTAAATACATATTTAACGCTGTATATATTAATTTCAAATTATTTACTATTACAAATTAAAAATTACTATTACAATACTCGTGTAAGACGATGCCTTCAATTAAATGTTAGAAAGAACGAGGGTCACTGAATGCACCATGACACTGGCAGCTAGCCTAGCAGGCTAACTTGGCTAATGTGATTTATCGCCACAGTTAAGCACACGCAACATAAGCCAGGACTATCAAATTCAGTTTTCTATCTATTGTTAAGTACTGTTCATACACCTGACCTCTAATTTTACTCAATATCCAAATGGCATCGCTTGGAGAGCCCGTGCGATTGGAGAGAGGTAAAGTTAATTGGTTTACTATCGTTAGCTTACAGTTATTTGTTGTGATTAGCCTAGCATTAGCTAACAGCTGTTTTTTTTTCTCGCGATGTATTGTATAATTTGCACACTCTCCTGTTCATTTCGAGAGTGGTGCATTTATCTAACAGAGTTTCCATATTTATAATTCTATTTATTCCCGTGGCTGACAAAATATAGAGATTACGGCTACGTTTCGAAGTGCACCAGTAAACGAGCTAACACCAGTACAAATGGTGATTTAAGCTGCTTTAATAGATCTTCAACTTATAAAGGAGGCACAGACCGTTGTAAAGTCGGTTTTAATTGACTTGTGTCACCGTAAGCATCCAGAGAAGTGAGGTTTATTTATTCTAATTCATTATTAGCAGTAAAACATCACTCACATACATAAAAAAGGGAGTCAGCAGCAGTAAGTAGTTGCCTTTTAAAAACGTACATATTTGATTAAGAAACACTGTATTTTTTATTCGATTTATTCTAGTCATTGAATAATAGAGTTTGTCATCATTTATTAATATGTAAGATGAACACTCTCCCATTAGTTTCTGTAGGCAATATAAACAGGACAAAATACTTCCTGTGACCCCTGAATGACTGCAGATTTATATATGTTTTCAGACACACAATTTAATGACATTTCAACACATCCACCAAAGGTAAAACTCAGTTCCCAAATATGTGTGAATGGAAAGTATTCTCTTTGTCCAAGAGACATTTTAAAACAATTACTCAGTCACTTACGTGACATGAACTGGTGAAGTCACTGGTGTTAACAAAATGAGGGATGACTGCAGTTCAGGGGCCAAAGTCAAAAACCACTGCACCCTGAAAATACTTCTGACTTTGATTTAGTTTTATATCATAGTTTTACTCACCAATAAAAAGTATAAAGGAAAATGAGTCCAGTGTGCGGTGGGTTTTCACTCTGATTGTGATATTTTTGATTCTGTGTCTGCCCAGGATTGACTATTTAGACATGTGGCATGTTTCTATTTTGCTGGCTTTACTGACAAATATTTGTAGGAATGAAAACATTGCATGCCATGTGCAATATAATTGAAATTACCTTTAATTTTTTTTTCAATAATACGTATAACAGGATGTATATGCTTTTAATTTTGAGTTAGAGTTTGTCCTTTAGTGAAGCCTATAAAAAAATAATAATAAAACATTGGCTAAAATAAAAAAAAATTACAAAAAGATAGAGAAATCTGCATCTGGCGTTTTAGGAAAAACACAAAGTTAAAAATAGTTAAAATTAAAATTCTATATATATATATAAAGGGAGAGAGCAAAGATCATAACTTATACATTGTTAAAAACATCAACACTGTCACTGAGAAAACTAACACCAATTTTAAATAATACATTAATCTCAACATCTTAACAACATTTGAATGTCTTAACTTAATCATGTTACAATTGTCCCATTGACAGATATCAACCGTGCCATTGAACTGCTCGATAAGCTCCAGAGGACAGGGGAGGTTCCACCCCAGAAGCTGCAGGCTCTGCAGAGGGTCTTACAGAGTGAATTCTGTAACGCTGTCAGAGAAGTGAGTCTGTAATGCTAACGTCTTAGTACTTTTTTCACACTTTTCTTTCTGACATTTTTGATTTTAGTTTTATTTTGGTTAAAAACTGCAACATGATCTGTCCTTTGGTATCTTTCCAGGTTTATGAACATGTGTATGAAACGGTGGACATCAACAGCAGTCCTGAGGTCAGAGCCAATGCCACAGCTAAGGTAAACCCATGTCTTGATTTTATAAACAAAACCGACCAGTTTCACAACAACTAAATATGTGTTAAATCCAGGAGATGCATTTATTTACAATGGTTCAATTCTCGCTTTGTCTTTCTAGGCAACTGTGGCTGCTTTTGCAGCAAGTGAGGGACACTCACATCCACGTGTTGTGGAACTGCCCAAGACAGAAGAAGGGCTGGGATTCAACATAATGGGTGGCAAAGAGCAGAACTCTCCCATTTACATCTCACGAATCATCCCAGCAGGCATCGCTGACCGCCACGGCGGCCTGAAGAGAGGCGACCAGCTCCTGTCTGTTAATGGGGTGGTGAGTGAAATACACTGTTAATCTGTATTTAAATGTTGTTTATACAGGTAGTCTCATTAAGACATGATGGCTCATTCTCGAGAGACCTGTGTCAGACATATGTGCAATAAATTAGTTATGGACAGACATCAGTTTTAGTGCAGATCTGTAAAATTAGAACAGTAAAGTGGAAGGGTTTAATGTGCTATGAACAGGAAGGAGTATTCATAGATGATATCTAAAATAACCCAATGGAATCAAACTATATACCTTCAGGTTCTGGTGCAAAGTTTTGCAGGTTAAAGGGGGAAAAAGTAGACGTACGTACCTAAGGAGCACTGCATGTTCTAAAGGTCTAGCACTGCACTCACTGGGTGACATGTGAGAGGAGAGGCATGATGGCAGCAGTCCAAGGATTTACTTTGTCAGATTAAGTTATACCAAAGTGAAAGTGTACGTGTGGATATCGATGGTAAACAGCATTCTGCATCTGTCGAGAGCTGTCAGATTTATGTAGACATTATCACCATCATCAATAATTGGTCAGAAAGTGGCAGCTGCAAGCCGTTCCCTGGAAATAAAATGTGATGGGTTATTTAAAAAAAAAAAAAGCACGGTCAGCAACTGTTTTCGTCACATATATTTAAAATTCCCAGGTTCTTAATCCTGAAACTCCAGCACAGCAGCCACAGTTTCAGTTTTCACTAAACTAAAAATTACTTGTTCAAACCTAAAAAGAAATTTAATTCAATTTAATCCTCTTGGAAAAAACAAGATTTAAATATAGGCAAAAATTTAAAAAATAATAATAAAGGCAAATAACATTACATCCCAAATAAGGAAATATTAATAATGCATGGAGTAGAAAGAGCAACTGTACAAGGAACGCATTAGTACGTCGTCATGATTTACACAAATCTGTCTTTGCCTTTTTAAAGCATGAATGTTGACACTTAAATATCTACAAGGAGCCTGGAAAAAAAAAAGCACAAGGACTTAAAGTACGGAGGCCTAAATGTTTTATGAAGATGGAAATATACCGATCATATCGAACAGGCTTCATGTTCTTTAAAAAAAATAGCTTCTTTACATTAGTCCAGGCATTCATATCACTTCTCGACTGGTTGTAAACAGAGGTCCGTGTTTGTCTGTTTTTGTCTCTCAGAGTGTTGAAGGTGAGCATCATGAGAAGGCTGTGGAACTCCTAAAAGCGGCTCAGGGCACGGTGAAGCTGGTCGTGCGGTACACCCCTAAAGTCCTGGAGGAAATGGAGTCACGCTTTGAGAAAATGAGGTCGGCGAAGCGCCGGCAACAGAACAACTATCCCAAGTAGAAATGTCCCATGTCGATACTCATCCCCTCTAGTTGTCAACGCTGGTCTCTGTTTTCTAACCCCCCACCCCCGCCTCACAACACCACAGCTGTACGTGTAAGTTGTTGTTTCCACATTGATATTCTAGACATTATGCCTGCACAGGTCGCAGGCTGTTTTATAATCACTGTTATTACCAAACTAGACACTATGACTGGATAAACACTAGACTAATGATGATCATTATCGGCGTGGTTGGTCTCCTTCACACGTGTGCATTATTTTCAGGTGACCGATTGAATGCAAACCTAAACACATTTGAAACCACCTTCAGAGGCCCTGTGACTGGAAATGTAGTATTTTTACTTTCTGTTATCATGTTCACTGACAAGTGCCTCAGGGCAAACTGATGTCACTCTGTTTTATTTCAGTTTTAATCGCACATACTGAACACTAAATGAGTTTGGGGATATTTAGATATTCATCAAATTCTGTCTAAGTTTGTCTTCTCTGTCTGTGTCAAATCCAAAACAGCAGCTTTTATCCATAACATCTGGGTTAAATGTTGGATACGGTCCCTTCACATAGCAAAGAGAATGTGGTGCTACAGGTGATGTCACAGGGTCTCGGCTAATCCTCAGCTAAATTTCTGCCATCACACACGTTAACATGTTTACATTTAGGGTACTATACTTTATGACAAACATGGGCAATGTCTGGCACAAGAATTAACATTTCTAATTTTCAGACATATCAGGAGTTGCCCTGAATTCAATTTTTCCCACATCAGGGATGTGAGGTGCATTTTTGCATAATAATTAATAAACAAGCAGAACAGTACGCAAATGAAACAGTGTCTTCACGTCACAGTTACACCTGATGCAAAGACGCAGCATTTGTTCGTACGTTACACCTCGTTGAGGGCATTTCGTCGTAAATTGTTTTTTTTTTTTGCTCCATTTCTGAGACTTAAAGGACGTCTTTGGTACTTTTTGTAATTTTATACACAGGAAACCATCATGGTCTTCAATGGGAAATTATTTTGCCCACATCACAAGGCGTTAGTCAGAATTGGCACATGAGGACAAAACAAAAGCCATAGGGTTTACTAACCTAGTGTAGAGTTTCTCCACTTTTTTCTAGACTAATATCCCGTATACTATTACAATCCTGGAATGCTTTTGGGGTTTTTTTCTGTAAGAATAAAAAGACCTGTTAACTATTGTCATTTCTGAGCTGTTTCAGATAATGAAATTGAATCTCTTTTGTCGCACAGTCGCGTCGTTACACGGCACTGTCTTTCAACTCACCGACCACCTTGAGTCTGATGCCTGCTGGGAAGTCGACCACTGTTGTAGTGAAGCAATAAGTTCTAACATTTATAGACCTAGGTGTCGCCACAGATTCTCCCTGATTTGACACTTACACCTATTATATCACTATATCATCACTGCAACTTGCATATAAGTCAGATTAAAAACATAACAACGTCTGATTGGTTAATGCTGCGAAGGCACTGGCAGCGTTGTCTTTCGGCATGTACTAACATTTCACTGATGTTTGAAACCCTCTGAGTCGTGTCTTGCATTTGTATTCACATTATTATAAAGAATGAAATATAAGCCCTACACATGTAAGTTAATCAAACCTATGTAATAATGTTTATTTTCAGATTTTAGAAAAAAAGAACCCGACCTGAATCAGGGGTCTCAAACTCAAATTGCCCCTGCCATTTCATTGTAGGGCCAAAAACGAACAGCTTGTGGCAGATTACTGGCTGAAAGTGGGCCGTGAGCCAGGGGTTTGAGACCCCTGTTTAATCAGTCTGGTTTGTTTGTTTTATAAACTTTGACGTTTGTCTCTGTCTGTTGTTTTAGTCCGTTTAGGTTCGGAACAAAATCACTTTGATCTATAGTTACGTTATAGTTCACCCGGTGAATGTACAGTGCATATTGCATGCTCACGCTCTCACCATTAAACAAGGCTTCACTCTCATTAGCCACACTAATGTCTAATCTCAGGATAAAGAAATAACAAACGGATGGTAACAATCTGTCTTAACTGCCTGCTGAAGAAGTGAGAAGAACAGTGGCTCCAGGAAGAAAACTCATTAGTGACAGTGACCGTTCGAGTACAGCATGGTTGAGGGTTGTTTTGTTTTTTTTCAACTCTTTGTTCTCTGACATGTTTTCTGATGTTAACTGTACTTTGTTGTCACTGATGTGAAAACCACCAGGGCACAATGACCGTGAACCACCGTACGGTTATTCTGATGCCAGTAACTTATTGTTTCAATTGTTTGTTTGTTTGCTGTAATTTGCAGGCTTTTAACTTTTATTTTTATTTAATTTCAAATTACAGTTGTCACCATTTTAAAACAGTGAAATGTTTAGTTTTCTTTTGCAAACTGTAATTAGTTCATTTAAATTCATAATTTTTTTTTTGTTTTTTTTTTGTTTTCATCAATCTGGATATTGTCTTTAAAATTGTGCCACAATATTAGATCAGAAATGTGATTGGACATTTAATTTCAGGCCTCCAGATAAAAACAGGACCTTTAAAAAAAAAAAAAGAAAATGTGGAGACCAAATCTGAAGCTGGACACACTGAGGACTGCAACTGTCTATGCAAGAGGTTTCCTTAAAAACTGAATTTTGTTTCATTTAGCTTGATTGAAGAATGTTTAAAAAAAAACATGACGATTGTGACATGAGTTCTGACCTCCAGTCGCTCTTAATCTTACATCCACGCTGTCCTTTATCGTAGCATAGTTCAGAAACAGCATCCCCTAATTTTTTCGACACTACATCTCTCTTCACATTCAAAGTCATTCAGAAAAAAAATCAACTCTGTGTTGGAGTTCTAGTGTCAGACTCCTCTGAATATCAGTTACTGTCTTCACCACTGACTCAAATTTTATGAGGTACTCTTCAATTTTTCTACCAGTTTTTTTCATTGTCTGTATATTGATACGGTCTAGAAAATATTTTTATAATGTTTTCTTTTGCTATTTTTCTCAAGTTTTATAACTGGTTTTCCTAAACGTAAAGGCGAGGGTTCTGTTGTTTGACAGTGAACCAGGGCGTGGCCAGCGGAGTGTCTGATTGGAGGATCTGATCTGGGATGGATTCTTAGATCTTCTGGAAGATCCTGGACTTCCAGTAGATCCATTAGTAAAGCAACTGTCCCACATCAGAATTGTCCCTCCTGAGGGACAAACTGTTTTGTCTTTTCCTTTTAGTACTAAGACCAAACTTTGAACATTTTGGGAACATTTTTGAAAATGTTTTAGCCAACGCTTGCCTAGAAATACTTTCTTTAGACCGTGTTGTGTTATAAATGTGTTATCTAATTGAATGTGTTACAGATAAGTGACATGTACAAGTGATGTAGAAAGTACCATACAGACATGTACAAGTGATGTAGAAAGTACCAATGCTAGGAGTGGAGGACAAATAAACATCAATTAAATGGATGACCTGTTTTGGTTTCCTTCAATGTATCTGTCACAGAACACTTTCAGACCCAACAGCATCCGCAGGAGCAGTCGTTTGTCTAATTCCCATCTCTTCATAATCCAAACAAGATGTTTGCAGGCGGGTCCCTAATCGTGTCGACGACTGGGTTTCATAACGCTCTCCTCGCTTTTTAATAACTGTCACATGTGGCACATGTTCGGTGGACATTCAGAGCAAAACCCACGGTTCACAGAAAGAGTGCCTTTTGAAGAAAAGGAAAAACATGTCTGCTGTCATCTTGTGCTGAGAGGAGTGAACCCCGTGTGAACTTCCCGTGCTCAGATATTGACATAGCTGTTATTTCTGACAGGTCTGCCACGGTGACGTGCTACGTCTGTGTTATCGTGTTTTGCTTTCGCGTCTTCAGTATCCGGGAATGGGGAAATATACTTGAGGACAGGAGCTTGGCAGCTACATGTCCCAGTGTTTTCATTTGTCACAACACAATGTGTCTCTGAGAGAGTGAAGACATTTAGATTTAGACCCTGCAGCACCTGCCAATATCATGTGGTTATTTTCTAATGTTTTCTGCCTTGTTGCATGAGATAAGTTTCACCAGAGCGTAATGTATTTGGATTGTCTGTCTTTTCTTCTGGAAGTTGTACATCAATTATATGGTACCTGTGACTGCTTGGGAAACACGCCTTGAAGCCAAATGGTCATGGTTCATTTTTTAGCTTTGTGATGATTTGTTCCTGGGCAAGACCCTTGAACTGAAGCTGTCCATCATGTCATGAGCAGAGTCACAGTCTGTTCTCCTGATAACAGTACTAAGACTGAACAAACAAGACGGTTTGTTACATAAATAGCATCTCAGGGTGAGGCTGAACTCGTATTGCAGGTGGTCAAAAGTTTGGGTCCCTGACCATTAAATGTCTCAGTGCGTTAAAAAGCACTTGTTGTACAAACCTGGAAAAAATCATGCATTTCTATGGTGAGCAGAGGATTCCAACGGGAGTGTGGGAATTCTTCTTTTGTCACGCTCCTGTCCGAAAGCCAGAGTAAGTAGAATTCATTTTCATTTATTAAAAAAAATGTCAGAAAACATCCTCAGAAGTTTTAGGAGAAAGCAGATCTGCTGAAAGTTGACAGATGAAATGGTATGAATTCTGGTCAGGGAAAACAGATGGATAAAAAAAAAAGTAGCCCAAGAAGCCAACTGCATCGATCTGAAGTAGCTTAGCAGAGGAGACAGAGGGCACCACCTATCTGCCACCTAGTGCACATGTCGTGACATTGACTCCTTATCCAGATTTCCAAAGTCTTTGTCTGTCACAACAAATGTTGTCGTTACAGCAACAGTAGGAAGACAACAAACAGAATGGCAGGCCTACAAAATACATAAGAACACAAGCAACACCAATAAGAGAAAAATGAATAATATCGATTAAAAACTTGTACTTACAAGAAACGAGTGACATAGCAATATATAATGTTACAGTGTAATTAACATATTTCACAGTCAGTTACACCATTGTGATATAAACCAAAGAAACTGTGCAAAATGTAACAGAGTTCAAACGATGTGAATGGGGTTTATTTAAATTGTGAGATGTAATTAAACGACGACCTGCTATTACGGATATAGAGCAACGCAGTAGAGGAAAGATCTCACAGCTACCGGTTTATTTAGATTTGAAGGTTCTTACACTGTCAAAATACCATTCAAAACCATGATGGCCCTGTGCATGACGTCTCCATACTGTGATTTCATAAAATTCAGTTAATATCATTATTATTGTTATTATTATTAATAATTGAACACTGAGCACTTGGTCCGAATCCTCTTTTATTTTTATTTTGATTGTTTACTCACAAGCTTTTATTTAAAAATATCAGTAGATAAAAATATCTATTCAGAGCACTTTTTTTTTTACTCTTAGAGGTTATTTGATATCTTACTTTTTCATGCTTGCTTTGTTGCTGGGCCAGAAACATGTCTCAGTTTAATCTGACAATATGTGAAGCAGCAACACTCTTTAAACAGCATGTGCTCTCCTCAAGACAACAAAGCCAAGGCAGGACAGGCCTCAGCTTGTGTCCAGAAAACCACACAAATGAATTATTGGCTTCTTCTTTTTCTCTTGTTCTTGCTTCTACCAGACTTGTGCTACATTCCATCTGTTTTATGCGTTGGCAACTGTTATGAGGCAAGTGCATCACATCCATCCAAACAAAACAAGCAGGATGCAGGCCGCATACCAAAAAATGAAACATGATGCCACAATAAAGCAGTTACACAGTAGCCCTTGTGTCACTTTCTAGTTATTCTTCTGAATACCTGAACCTTTAGCCTGTTTGTGGAATTCTACGGTATAGTAAACCAACAATAACATTTATATTTATTAATTCTGTATTCAGATTCCAAAATGCACTCACTGAGTTTGACCCACACCTTAAGTATGAGACGTTTAGTTGGTGTGGTGATTCTCGCCTTCGCAAAAGGCAAGGTAATGCTACTACGAAGGTCATATTCCGGAATTATCCACGGGACGGCGCTCTCGTGTCTTTTCTCCATGGTCGTGGCAGAAGAAGAAGAAGTGGTTCTTCGGGTTGCTTCCGGTGAAGGTTCTTCCTTTCTGTCCGCTTACGTCCAAGGGAACACGCGTTCGCTTTTGTAGCTCAAGTGAGTCGTATTTTTAATATTATAATTAACACTGCTAATACATTGAAAAAGCTAGTAGTGTGCTGTCAAAATATAAAACGATATATTCACACAATTAAATGCATAAAAAGCAGAGTATTTGCGTTTTCCCCAGTTTTTTACGCACCATAGCAGCAGTTAGCCGTCTTAGCTCATGTTAACGGCGCCGAAGTCCACGCCACCACATGGGTGTAAAGACTCTACGGTGATTTTTGTTAGTACAACATCCATCTTAAATAGTAAACGAAACAAATGGTTCGCGGTGGGCTAATTATTCAAAACTGTCCGCATTGTCTGTGAAAGACTAACTTTTAAGCTATCTAAACAAGTCGCTTAGTTTGATTGTGTGTCGGATGAAAATTCACTTTGTTTTGAAGATTGAAATTACACGGTGTCAATCTCTTAAAAATGCGTTATTGCAGGGTTACTGACAGGATTTGCAATGAAAATCAGTGGTTAAAAAACCTTCAGCCAAATACCCAACTCCAAACGAGTTCTTGTTACGTTCCAAGTAGATTCTCTGTCTGAAATTGACGAAACATGGAGAATTTGTAGATAAGTAAATTACATGATTTATTTGCAGAGTCACATTACGCGGTTTTGTTTTAAACAGGGCATTTGAAGCGTAATTTAGATGAGGTTTTATGTTCAAACAATACACAGCTTTGTCGCCTTTTTAACATGTTTTTGACTGAATATATTAGGGTTTGGTTAAACAGGACAATTGATTATAGTGATTATAGTCATCAGATGGATGTCTTTTTTAATGTAGGCAAAGAAAAAATCACTTAAGAGATCAATACAAATAATGAAACCACCTTTTATTTGTATCACTGTATATTCATCAAACTAACCATACCAGAGCTCGGGCCTTTGGTTGTCATGGAACAAAATTATGTTGGGATTAAATTTTTTTCAGAGAATCTTATTTCAAGACTTACACTGCAGGCCATTTTTTGCTAGGCACCACATCATTTTAGGCAAACTGTGTGTTAAACAGGTGCAGGATATAGAAATTGACAGCATCACTGAACAGGTTTATTTAGCAGCAGTATGGTGAAATAACTAATTGACATCAGCTGTGGGAAGCCAAACACTTAAGATTGTCATTAATTTCATCAATGTTTCTATATGACATACAACTTTTACTTTTGATGGATATTCTAGAAAATTCTCAACTAACAGTGTTAAATGACCTCGGTGTACAGTTTTCTGTTGTATTTTTTAACACTAAATTTCATGTTTTTAAGGATGCGTTACGTTGCTGCTTACTTGCTCGCTGCCCTTGCTGGCAATGACAAACCTGAAGCAAAGGACATCAAGAAAATCCTAGACAGTGTTGGTATTGAGGCCGATGACACACGTCTGGACAAGGTCATTTCTGAGCTCAAGGGCAAGAACGTAAATGATGTGATTGCATCAGGTGAGTTTTGAACCTTGGAACTGTATGCCATTTAACTAAATAAGTTACCATATTTACAAATAATGCAAAATAGCTAATATGATTATAAAAGATTCACCTAAACAAGAAATTATTGTTTGTCCCAATGAGTTCAATTTAAAGTTTATCTAATAATATCTACATACTGACTCTGACTTCTGTAAATGAATTCCTGGCAACTGATAAACAGACATCACATGAATCAACTCTGCCAACCCCTCTCTCCCCAGGTTATGGTAAACTGGCCAGCGTGCCAGCAGGTGGAGCCGTAGCTGTTGCCAGCTCAGCTGCTGGTGGCGCCGGTGGAGCTGCAGCCCCTGCTGCAGGTGAGCGTTGGAACTTAGCACCTTGTTAGTCAGCATTAACACGCAGATACTTTGTCTTTACCTTGTATGTTAGCACAGTTACATTTTTTGACCGAAGAGCTACTAAATTTTTTATAACTATACGTGTTAAACTAATTTCATTGTACAAAATGTTGCGAAAGAGGAAAAAAAATGTTTAAAGTATTAGTGTGCTGTACATGTCATTAACAGAAATGCATATCCATTTTTCATCTTCAGCTGCAGAGGAGAAGAAGGAAGAGAAGAAGGAAGAGTCTGAGGAGTCCGATGACGACATGGGATTCGGCCTGTTTGACTAAACCTTTCCAAAAAAATAAAATTTATATTAAAAAAATTGAGTTTTTAGTTTTCTCAAACCTTTTCTGTTCAACAGTGGTGACTTCTGATGAAGGGAGCTGCTTGTACAAATATTTTTGGTGTGTACCAAGTGAACAACAATACTTTCATTAATATGTGGTATAAAAATGGTTGCTTCTAATTTTAAAGCTGCAAGCTACTGTGCATTTTACACTAGATATCTACCAAGAATCAAATTATTAAGATTTATCAAGTATAAATGATAGACTGTCCAATTAATTCAAAGTGTGTAAAATCTGAAGAGTTCTGTGACATGTCTGAATCGCACTGGTAAAGTGGTTTAATGAGCAAGTGCCATAATTGGTGCCACTTCCCAGGTGCAGCAGAGTGCAACCACCTACTCCTGTGTGGCCAGTGCAGTTATTTCATTTATTAGCTAAATAATTAATTTCCCCAATGGACTGCTGGGTACCTTAATGAAAATAATGTGTAAAATCTCTCATTGTATTACTAAACAGGACCACCATGTAAAATAACATTCAAGTGTCTATCAAATGAAATCATCTGTCATAGGTGTTGGCAAATTAAAAAAGGTATGAGAGGCTTGTCTGGACAGGACCACTCCAGTTAAATATTTTTTCTGGTTTATATCAGTCAAATTACATGAATTAAAAAAAGAAAACAGGTTTTCCCTTTGGTATTGAGACTTTCTTGGTGCTATATAATGTATCAACAGATACGATCTTGCTAATTATTTGTCAAAAAACGGATGACATTTAACGATGGTTGTACAGATGGCGCTGGAGTTAGTACCAGGAGTTTTTCCTGGTACTAAGGGATAACGAACGATATGTTCGTGGCATTCAGCCTTGTAAGTAGACTGATCTTTCAAATAGGTTAAATGTCTTCTTTTAAAACAGTGTATTACAGGATGGACACTGTGATAAACCATGGTTGACGTTTTGGTGTAAGCCGTGAATCAAACGATGAATAAAATAGAAAAATAGTGCCGTCTCCAGGTGGATGTCCACAGAGTAAACTTCAAACTCAACTGTCATCTGAGTAAACAGGGGCTGCAGAACCCGGCAATATTATCGGGCTGCACACAGGAAGTGGTTCGTTCTATTCAACACGGACTAAGAAGAGATGGCACAAGGGTAAGTTACCGTTGGTAATTGGAAACAGGTGCGCTATACAGGATAAGCTTATCGGGAACAAGTAAAGACACAGGCGACTAGTTAAATGTGTGCATTTTACTATTGACAATTGGACGTTCAGGTTTTTGTTGTAATGAAAGCATCGCATCCCGTCCATATCTGCTGCCCCGGTGGTAATGCACAAACGCACATTTACTCACGTCAGATAAAATGGAAGAAAAAGACTTGGGTCTGATTTCGGTCGTAGAAAAAAAATATATTGTGTTGATTTTCTAGTGGTACTGTTTCGTGTCTGATGTTTTATAGATTAATTATGTATAAAGAGAGTTTCCTCTTGATTTAAATAAAACAAAAGACATTTTGACATGGAACAAAACCATGATACAAACTCTTCATCGGGACGGCTAAAGTAGGAACAATTTAAGTGTAACACACCCTATAATAAAAAAAATTAAAATACCTAATGCCGATTTAGTTGAAGGTTAATATTTTACCCGTAGGTTAAAGCTATTCTATGCCGCTAATGTATACAACCTTTGTTTTGTGTTATTGCTGATTGTTAGTTCACTGGAAAAGGACATGCAGTATCACATTGAGCAACAAACTCTGGCAGCTCCAGTTACATTATCCAACAACACCATTTAGACATTGTATTACAACTTGACCTTAGAACGATGTGAACAGTGCTTAGTTCATGTTTTGCCTTTTTCAATCCTTTCCAAAGTCCTCAGATCAGATTACAAAAATGTATAAACTAAGGAGGTGGTTCGAGCTCATATCCAATCTATATTCAGGATCAGTTGATGCTTGCTCAGCTAATGACATTTGACCTGAATTTGAATGTGGTGTTTTTCGGAATTGTCATCTACCTGGTTAGTTTAAACATCAAAGTTCCGTTACCGATTGAATAAATTGCAATGTTGTGTTCTATTAGGGCTATGACTCCTTTTTTATTCTATATTTCAGGTTGTTAGTGCTCATAGAAACACTGATGAGATACATAATTTTAGTACTTGTACTTGTTTGGGTTTATTTAAACATGGAATCTTGTATTTATTTCAGGATGTTGTAATTGTTGTTATTTCTTTGCAAAAATGATGCACACTTATGCAGCTTTAAACAACTACCGTCGGGAAAAAAAATCTAATCACAGCATGGATATTTATTTAGCATGCGAGCGTTCGACGCGCCTTCTTGCACTTCCTTTCTTCTTCTGGGCTCGCTGTGACGTCACGGCACGTCCTTGTAAAAAGCTGGTGAAAGTGACGTACGCAGTTCAGTCGAGCTTCTCAACAGCGGACAGTGAAGGTTACCTGCTTCAACAGTGCTTGAACGGCAACCTTTCAGCTGTCTTTTCACACGGGTCGTGATAGAAAATCCTTACAAACCTACTGATATTCATTTTTGATTTAAAACGAATATCTTTTTGTACCATTCTACCGCGAGAACACGTTTAGCATCACAGCTATATAGCTATCTGTTTGTTTTGCTAACAACGACGCAACACCAGTCAGATTTTCACCTCGCGAGAAAAGACCTGTCACCAAATTTTGGTAAGAAGCTTTTCTTTTTCATACACGTCGTACAGTATCCTTCACCTGATACTTAGTATTTCCTTTACATTATGATGTATTGTTCAGTGAATTTGTCGTTGCGCAGTTTGGCTTCTCTCTTTTTTGGCTCTGTGTTTACTCGACGTTTAAGTATACGATCATGAAAGAACAATTTTCTTTTAAGTGCTAATTTGTAAACATTTAAATCTAATCGCGGAATATTTCCCGACTGAACTCAATTTGACCAGGTTTATTACTAAGGCTCAAATTTCCTATTTGGTTGTTGTCATATAAATAATTGATATTAATGAGTTAGTAGTATAGGAAATTTAATACATTGGAAAACAAACAAACTAAACGTCTTTGTGACATTAAGATCATTCTAGAGCTTCTGAAAATCATAGGTAATTATTAAACATAGTGGCTGTTCCAAGCAGTTGTTGCAGCAATAGTAAGAAAAGAATAACAAACATCATGAATGTACAAACTCTCTGATTTTATTTGTGTGTAGGAGTAATTTTTTTACTGTGTTGTTTACAGAACTATGACTTCCCAGATAAGACAAAACTTTCATCAGGAATGCGAGGCTGCCATCAACAGGCAGATCAACCTGGAGCTGTACGCCTCCTATGTCTACCTGTCCATGGTGAGAGACCACTCTGCGTGTTAAACAGTAGTGTTTAGGGTAGCAAACTGCTGAATGAGCAGTTATTAATACCAAGCTCATGTTTGAGCTTGGTATTACCCGTGAGTAAAGGCTACTATTAGTCCTGCTGTTTTTTCGTGTGGTTATTTACTGCTGTGCTGGCAGCATTTGTTTGGTGGGTAATTTCACAAACCCACTAAGTGTATCTTAGCAGAAGAAGGACCATGTGGGGGACTTTTTAAAGGCAGTTGTCATGCTGCACACTGTCACCTTAAATAAGTGTTTTGAGTAGTGTAGTAAGAAGCTGAACTCTAAATTATCTGATGAATCAGTATGCAGTTGAAGGTTCACTGAGGTGATCTAAGTAGTGTTTGGCTGAGTAGTAGTACAAAGGTTAAAGTTCATTTTGAGATTGCTGAATACATTTACAACAAATCCTCTCTAGTGAAAGTAGGCTTAAGTTTAAGATATATGTTTTGTACTATAATCACTGTCGTATCAAACAAACTTGTTGATGTGTTTTTCAATTCTTTCGTTGTATGTCCCTATATCTGGTCTAGACTGAATGTAAATGTCTTTTACTGCTAAGATACACTAATACACTGATCTCATATTCTCGATCTCCCTCTTCAGTCTTACTACTTTGACCGGGATGACCAGGCATTGCACAACTTTGCCAAGTTCTTCAGTCACCAGTCTCATGAGGAACGTGAGCATGCTGAGAAACTGATGAAACTCCAGAACCAGAGAGGTGGAAGGATTTTCCTGCAAGATATCAGGGTATGAAGTCATCTTGTCCAACTTGTGTATTTAAACCCTGTATATTTGAATGTTTGTTTTAGCCTTAATTCCTTGTGAAAATAAGTCCTTATCTCTGATTCTGGGCGGGCAACATAAGGCTTACAAGATAGAGGGTGTGAGGTGGGTGTTTGGTTTATCTGACTTGACCATGCAAACAAACAGCCTCAAGTTTGTTACACTTAAACTTACACGTTAAACTGCCAACCCCACCCTCTTATTTAAGGTCAACAGCCAACAATCTTTTGACCTCTCATTTTATTGTCTCATTGATCTTCTGACCTGTTTTTTTTTTATTATTCTTCTTTTGATTGCAGAAGCCAGAAAGGGATGAGTGGGGCAGTGGGGTTGAGGCTCTTGAATGCGCACTTCAGCTTGAAAAGAGTGTCAACCAGTCACTGCTGGATTTGCACAAACTGTGCTCCAGTCACAATGACCCACATGTGAGTATTCAGCCATGAATGAATTGTCCTTGAGACACATAGGAGAACATCAGTCCCAGTTTTAATGGGTGTCAGGTGTTTTATTACCAGCTTCTACCAGAAACCCATCCTGTATTCCCCTTTGATACCACACTATACTGAGGTCATCAAATTACTAAAGAGAGTAGCTGGAAAATGTGAAGCTGCACCAAGGGCACTCACTTCTTTTGTTTAGACACTTTTGTCTGGCACAAGCTTGTTTTTTTTCAGTTTATCATTTGTACTTTTAGTACCATAACCAGATTTCACTACTTGTTACACAGTTCTTTAATATTTGCATGTCTGCAGTCTGCGTTTATTTTAACCATTTTTACATCAACTGTTTCACATTCAGTTTCCACTGAAACCATTCAGACGGAATGGTTTCAGTGGATAACTCTTTGGGGGTTATCTTTGGGGTTTTACTTAAATTTCCGCTTCTTGTTTGTTACAGTTGTGTGATTTCATTGAGACTCACTACCTGGACGAGCAGGTGAAGTCCATCAAAGAACTGGCAGATTGGGTGACCAACCTGAAACGCATGGGTGCTCCTAACGGCATCGCTGAATACTTGTTTGACAAACATACCCTGGGCAAGGAAAGCAGCTAAATCCATCCCTGGACACTCGATGCTTCATTTGTGTATCTGTCCCTTGCTTTATATAAGTATTTTAAATGAGTAAGTCATCAGCATGGTAGTCACTTATTATCATGTCATTGCCATATTAGCTAAATACATAAGGAAAATGCACAAGAAGTTGCAGCTTCCAGCCTTTTCTGCTTTGAGCAACATTCCTGTTATCCCCACATGTACTGTTTTGCCAGGATCTGTCAATCCAATGAAATAAATGGAGCCCTCTGGATTCTGACCTTTTGTCTTGTCTTTGTTTTTGGGAGAAATTGTGGAAAATCAACTTGATCATATACAGTGGCTATATTAGGTCACATTAATGGTGGAAAAAGTTTTAAATTATTTGTCTTGGTCTAACTTTTAATTTTTCAAAAACCTGACATTTGAACAGGGGTGTGGATTTTATATCCACTGTATATTCTAATTCTAATAACACATGAAGCTTCAACACTAAAGGATCTTTTGCTGGTTTCTGCTTGTTTCACTTCCATTAAATGGGAAACAAAACTCAGAAATGACATATGTATTCAGTATGGTGCCAACCATAAAGTATTTTACTAAATGAACAACTGAAACCTGATGCTACAGTGCAGCATCTGAAAATAACTACTATATTTAACTGAATAACATGACAGGTGCCTGTGGTCAATGAAACTGAACTGCAAAATAAAATAGCCTTGTTTAACCCTTGTTGATGTTCCACAGGTGCTTGTTTCACTGGAAGTGATACTAATGAAAATACAGCATACACTTTGTGCTGTATTTTCATTAGTATCACTTACGATACTAATACAATTTATTATTATTTATTATGTAATGTATTACGATATGAACAACAATGGTTTTATGCCATAAAACCACTGTTGTTCATATCTGGGTAAATAACTGACACATGGAAATGTTTTGGAACATACAGTATGTCTCAATACATTTTCCACAGTTTCGCAATCCCCTGTGCATCACACTTGTTTTGCTCACACTGTATGGCTGACTCAGAGTGACTCAGACCTGTCAGGATTACATGGGCTTTAAAGGAAATGATGGAATTGTCACATTACCTGATTTTGCAATATGTTCACACGTCATATTGAAAAAGAACTCTGTGTCCTCGGCCTAGGGTAGGGTTGCCATCCGTCCCTTTACAACGGGAATCTCCCGTGTTTAGAAACAAAAATACACGTCCAGTTGAGCTGAAATGGACGCACTCTGTCCTGTTGTACCATGGGAATCAATAAGTAAATTGTCAATGGAATAAATGAATAACAGGGTACTGTATATGAAAACCTTTGCATCTCCTATTGAGCTGAGAAGGGAGTTAGCAGCCTTAGCCTAGAGTCCAAGTCCTACACTTGGCATGGATGACATAGGATTACCATGCAATCTTTAGACATGATACTCTGAACTTTAGTGTGGCTTCCTATTTGGATTACAGCCCAGTTCTTCAAAGTAACAATTGTGCAAGATGACAACGTATCAATGCAAAAAACAATTTATTTATTTATTTATTTATTATTTAAAAATAAAACAAAAACATTCATTTTTTATTTTAAAATGACCATTGTGACCTGGAAACCCCTCCTACTTCATCCCTAAAATAACAGATTTTGACATTCTAGCCATAATTGTCAGCTAAAGTCAGTAGACTGAAAACAAGCCCCCGTGAGTTTGAACTTTGGGACAAAGCCTGAGTTTTTGGTAAAGAAACACACACAAACAAAGATAAAGTACTAAAGTCTAAACAACCACCTGTGAAAAGTCATTTGATTTATTTCGGTTTACTTGGCTTAGTCTGTTTTAGTGTTTAAAGCCTAAACCTGTTTCACTTCTTACACTGGATCCTGCCTATAGCCACCAACTTGATGCTGCTGGTCAACCACAGAAATAGACTGTAGAAAGTACTCACGAAAACATCAACAATTGATTTATTCCAAGACTGAAACTGAAAGAAAGGAACTTCTTATTCTACAGATGTTCACGCCTCTTCAAGCTCCACCAGGACACCATCACAGTCTTTAGGGTGAAGGAACATCACTGGTTTCCCATGAGCACCTATTCTGGGCTCTGCTGACAGAGTTCTGATGTTCTTCGCTTTTAGGTCAGCGATTGCTGCACTGATGTTGTCCACCTACAATGCAGGACGAAATACTGTTAGTCGGGTACTTATTTTAAAAAGTGGAAATAGAATTTGTGACTTTTTCTTGAATCTGACAGAATAGAGTAGAACCACGTGTTTGCAGAAGGAAAATGTAGCTAAATGTTCCAGTCCTCTAGAGCAGAGGGTTTTTAGGACACCCAGAGGGTCCACAGGGGAACTGCAGGGGTCATGACATTTTTGTTTGGTTAGACACGAACATCAATTCAGCAAACATATAAATGTAGGCATGATTATCATAGAGTTGACCAGTGCCATTATCAACACACAAAGTTGATAATGGCACCAGTAGCGTGTTGGCGTCCTCTAGCGGCCAGGTTAAACAATGTATGACGATTGGCACCAGTACTGTGGTTTTAGTGGTAAATTTGATAAGCACTGTTTGGCATCACATTTTTCATCTACTGGTAAATTGAAACAGGGTAGGGTAAATTTTATTACTGAAGCACTTTCAAGAATTACAAGTAAAACATTTGATACCAGTGTTTCATCACTGTTAGAAAATAATAGCAGAAATTATTCTCTAAATACCCTGATATGTGAAAATGGGCTTTTAAGGTAATTTTGTTTTCTTACCTCAATGCAAATGTGGTGCATCCCTCCAGACTTGTTCTTTTGCAAGAAGCCGGCAATCGGGCTTTTTTCCCCGAGTGGATGGAGGAGCTCCAGTTTAGTGTTGCCAAGCTCAACAAACACTGTGTAAACACCATGATCAGGCAGAGGCACCTTGTTGCTCACCTTGGCCCCCAGCACATCTCGATAAAGGGCCGTGGCCTTCTCCATGTCAGGAACAGCAATAGCAATGTGATTCAGCCGCCCCAAGTTCCACAGTGATGATGGGACGCCCTGGCGCAGGGACGTTGTCATTGAGTATGTCCTGACCAGTGGGAGACGTGGACATCTAGAAAGTCCTGCCACTGAGAAACATGCAAAAATAAAGTTAGCTGACAAAACTCCAGGGGACACATGGTTGTTCAAGAGTTTCCAAAACTGTTTGAACAGGACTATTAGAGTTAAATATCATCAAGTGTGCGAAAAAAGAATGGCCTGTATAAAGACAGGAAGACGTGGAAAAACAATTGTTACAATTACACCAAGTAATAATAGACCACATTCTTAGTATTCTATATGCAATTAAAATGCATTCATATTGCACTAAATCATTTATTTTAAGGTCTGACATTTAGAAACATGTAGCATGTGGTCTGGATTTTTTGGATTTTATTTGCCTGTCATGAAATTTAATTGCATCAGTCTCCCCAATGAATAGATAGCTATAAGAAATAAATCGCAATTTAAATATGGATTACATTACCTATGTCATGTCAAGTTTTCTTGTCACTCGTTACGTAAAAGCACATCTTAAACGAACTAACTAAAACACTAGTTTTTGAGGTAACGAACTCATGACGTTCCAAAACAATTTTAGCCGCAAACATACATAGTTACATTAACAAAGCTACGGTTTACATTAGTTTTTACATTAAACAATAAAAGAGCTAAAGTGAGGTATTGGGCAACGGACATTAACGTTAATGAAACCATAAACCTACCTGCAACCTTCAGCGCCGCGGACGCCATTTTTGGTAGATCGGAACCAAAGAAAGACATAGGAATTTTCTACGGGGCCTGTTTATGTGCGACACCAAGTTACACATGTGAGGAGACGGCGATTATGGCGAGTGGCGATGTGTTGAGCTTGCTGGAGAACTGTGTTAAGAAATTACATGCAAACACAGCACAACCAGAGAACTTTTTGAGGTAAATGTCTCGTTTTTATGACTGTTTTTAAATACACGAGCAAAATGTCTCAACTCCAGTTTAAATATGTAGGGTTAGCTAGCACTACAGTTAGCTACGGCAAACACGAACGTGCACATTTTATTTCAAAGTTTTTCATTTTTTTAGCTGTTTTAGCATTACATGAAATGTATTCTAATATCGGATTTAATTGTTTAAATGTACTAACTTGAGCTTGACCGTCGCTGTGTGATGCTTATTTGTTCACAGAAAAGTATTTCATTCGAGTAGTACAGTATTGTTTTTGCTGCATGTTGTGAGTGCAATAACTTATAGCTATCCATCTGTCTATTTATTTGTTATTTTCTCAACTTGTCAGGGTTCATCTCATACCGATATAAAAGTAACCTGTAAGAGTTTAGTAAAATCTTTTCACATTGGTAGTATTTGAATATGTAAACACAGATGCCCTTTTGCCCATGCCATTACGTATAAATTATATTTTTCAGCACTCCAGAACGAAACTTTTTACTGACAGCGCTGTCATGTCTGTTCAATATGTTGTTTACATTCGTTCACTGAATTCACCAACATGTATGTGTTATAGGCGTTTTCATTGTATGGAGTTTTCCTTTCATTCTTGCATAGTTCTGTGAAAAAGTAGCAACTTCTGTTAATGTCCCTGAACCTACGCATTATTCTGACAGTCCTAATAATTCATGATCATATTTTCAGCTTTCAAGATGAAGTGGCAGCAGACTTCACCTCCCTCACAAAGACCTTATATGACCTCCAAAAAACCTATGAGCCTGTGTGTTATAAAGGTAGCCCGCTGACTGAGCTGGTGGTGGAGAACTTTGATCAAGAGCAGATCTGGCAGGAGCTGGAACTGCAGAACAGTGCAGTCCTGAAACATTTCAAAAGCACTGTTGATCAGGCTCTGTCAGATGAGACTTTAACGATACTCGAAGAAGATGAGGAGGAGGATGAAAGAGATACTGATGGCAAGGACTTTGCTGAAGAGGAGGAGGAGGAGGAGGAAGAAGAAGATGAAGAGAAAGAAGAAAAACGTCACAGGCACACTAAGAAAAAACCTGTAGAAACTGAAGAGTTCACAGATGAGGACTCGGATTTAGATTTTGATGTTGATGCTCTGGAAAAACGGGAACAGCGGAAGAAGGAAAGCAAGAAATTAGTGTCCAAGACAAAGATTATTCCTTCTGAGATTGATGACAAGTTCTTTAAGTTATCAGAAATGGAGGGGTTTCTGGATGATATGGACAAGCAAGAAGGAAAAAAAGTTGAGGATGAGGACGGTGTCAACTATTTTCATGACCTTCCCTCTGGGGATGATGAAGATATTGGCCTGGATGAAATACTTTCTACCAAAAAACTAAAGAAAAATACTGTATGTATTTCATCCCTCATTTATTTTTATTTTTCTCTCATGGTGGAAAAAATGATTTTAGCTTTGTTTGTGTTTACAGAAAAAGAGCTCCAGAAATCTCAAGTACAAGGACTTCTTTGATGCTGTGGACACTGAACCAGCTGAAGCAGATGAAGAGTCAGATGGTGAGGCTGGTGGCATGGATGAAAGCCAGGAGGAAAGTGAAGAACAAATAGATGACGAGGATGATGATTATGATGGTAAAGAGGACGATGATGATGAGTAAGTGTGATTGATGTTATAGAGCATCTTTACATCTTTGTAGGAGGAAAAGCTTCAGTTGATTCAGCTCTGTTTTGTTTTTTTCCCCACTTTTTTAAAGTAATAATGGCACAAGGCCTCTTAAAGTCTCGTCAAAGAAAGTGACCTTTCAGCTCTCTGGGGATGAGGAAAGTGAGGGAGAGGACATGGAGGAGATCTTTGGAGGAAAATCTTCAACTGCTGCAAATGTCGAGTCAAAGTCATCATTTGAGAAACGACAAGAAAAGGTAAAAAGACGTCGTCTGTGTAGTTTCTCATTCATCCAGTTCATTATCTAAAGTAGTCTAGAAGACCTTTCATCTCTCATCCAAGATACGTTTTCAGTTCTGAGACCTGAAAAAACCTGCAAACTGTAGACTGATCTCTGTCTATGTGTGTGTGCACCTAAACTTAAACTTAAACCTGCAGATGTCTCAGACAATCAGAGAGATGGAAAAGGCAGCTTTGACAGAGAAGCCGTGGCAGTTATCTGGAGAGGTGACAGCACAGACGCGTCCAGAGAACAGCATGTTGGAGGAAGACGTGGAGTTTGAGCAGACATTCAGGACAGGTAAATGATTCCTCTGTCTGCATATTGTATTTGTACTTAGCCAGACAACTGTTATATATTCTTCATAATTCTTTGTATGTTTTATTTTGAACGTACAGCGCCTGCAATCACAGAGGAAACCACACTACAGCTTGAAGAGATGATCAAACAGAGGATTAGAGATAACGTCAGACACAATAATTATAATTCTCAAAATGTATACGCATAAAGGTGATTGACTTGTAACATATTTCCTTTGCTTTCATTAGGCTTTTGATGATGTGGTCCGTAAAGAGAAACCCAAAGAGAGTGTTTTTGAGTACAAGAAGAGGCTAACCTTGGACCACGAGAAGAGCAAGCAAAGTCTTGCAGAAGTCTATGAGCAAGAATTTATCAAACAGACTCAGGTTTGACTTTTTGTCTTGTTCTTATTGATGGCACCACTCATATGAACTGTTGGTTTACCATGTTTGGTCTATTGTTTTTGCCTTAGCAAAAAACTGAGGAGGAGAAGAATCCAGCCCATGTAGAAATTGAAAAGCTCATGGACTCACTCTTCCTAAAATTGGATGCTCTCTCCAACTTCCACTTCACACCTAAACCAGTAGGTTTTCTATGATGTCAGAATATATATATATATATATGTGTGTGTGTGTACAGTGTCAAAAGTGACTCCTCTTAAACGTGATGTGTTTAATGTTGATTCCTCTTAAACGTGATGTGTTTAATGTTAACTGTTTTTGCTGAAATCAAAGTTTAACAGATGTGGACATCTTAAAGTGTAACTTTTAAGTTTCACTGCACAAACAATGTCAAAATAATTATGCATTTTTAAATTTGTTCTTACAAATGGAAAGAGATAGATAGCTGGAACATTTGTCACTGAAAAATCTAACAATTTTGCCTCTGTAACCAACAGCATTAATGTAATTAATGTTTTAAGTAATACATTACAAATGCTAACGGATGTTTTAAGTAATACATTACAAATGCTGCAAACACAAAGCTCAAACCACTATATATTTTCTACAGGCTGCTCCTGAGGTCAAAGTTGTGTCCAACTTACCTTCCATCGCAATGGAGGAGGTGGCTCCTGTCAGTGTCAGTGATGCAACATTACTGGCGCCAGAAGAAATCAAGGTTTGTCATTTACTTCCAAAGCTTTCATTACCCTGGTTTATTTTTGTCTTTTTTTATATCTGTCTAATAACAATCCCCTGAATCCACAGGAGAAGAACAGAGCAGGAGATATTGTGGGTAGCACTGAAAAGACGTCAACAGACAAGAAGCGTGAGAGACGGCTCAAGAGGAAGGCAAAGAGACTGAAGATCAAGGAGAAGGAAAAGAGACAGAAACTCAAAGAGACCAGCAAATCTGGACAAAACAAAAAGCCTTCCCAGGCTGAAATCAGAGAGAACCTAAAGAAACTGACAAAAGGAGGCAAAGCAACATTAATTAAGGTGAGCATTTCCATGTAATGTAATAAACATGACCCAGATTTACTCCGTTCATCATTGTTTTTCATGAATTTTAATACTTTGGACTTAATTTTGGACATTAATTTTGTTTTTGTTAAGTGTATTGAAACTGAGTTTAATTTACATATTTAAGAACCAAACCTTACTGGTTCAACAACGGCTAAATTAACCCTGTTCTCCTCTCTTTCAGGACGAAGGGAAAGACAAGGCTTTGCGTTCGTCTCAGGCCTTTTTCTCTCAGCTACAGGACCAAGTCAAAAGTCAGATCAAAAGTGCAAAGAACCAGTCTTCAAAGAAGAAAAAGAAGCAAAAAGAAGTTTCTGTCACCAAACTTAAACTTTAAAAATGTTTCAAACTGTTTTATGATGTGAAATTGCATTGTAATTGTATAGACACTTTTTATGAGAAAGAAAAAATTTATTAAACGTTTCTTGTAGAATGTCTTTTTTTATATATATATATATAAGTTTAGCAGACTTGCATTAGAATCAAACTTCAAAGGGTCTGTAATTATTTTCTTTTTAAAATTTAAGCTCTGTGAATTTGATAAATGCTTGCCAACATAAGAAGCCAACAAAAGATTGTTGGTGAAACATTAAAACAATTATGGTAATTGGCCTTCCCTTTAGCTGCTTCCTTCTTCCTGGTTTACAGCAGCAGACAGTCTGTCTAGTGACATTTGCCACATCAAAAAATTTGATGAATTGTTAAGAAGAATGCATTTTCATCAGAGTAATATACAATTGTGTAATTGTGTTCTATAAAATCATGACAAGTGGCACCTAATATCACATTAATCAAAGGTTCACATAACCTTGAGGTTTTTGTCTAATCACACACAACGTAAATGGTTGTTGAGGGTCTGTAATTATTTTCTTTTTAAAAGAATTCTGACAGACACCTGCTCACTTTATTCAATGTGGTAGTGACTTAACTTGATTGTTAGTGATGGTAGAGCAAAAGAACAGTCAAAGGACCTTAGACAATCAGCAGCATAAACTGAGGGTTTCTGTTGATACCAACTCCAGTCAGATAGACCAACAAGAATGAGCCTACAAATAGTTTCAGCTGAAACCAAAAACGTGGTGTTTACATCTGAAGATGCTCAGTGAGGAAACTGAAGAAAAATGGGCTGTATTGTCCAGTTGCCAAAAAGAAGCCCATCACCAAACGCTTGCTACAAAATAGCCTTGTATTATGCAATACCTATTCAACACGGTTATTTAGAGGGATGTGACCAAACTTTAAAGTTTGTGTTAACAAGGTCCATGATAAAAAAGAACACCCTACCTGCTACAGGGCATACAGGTTGGAGTTGAATTTACTATTAAAATGTATATGGCTTTTTCAGCATGACAATTATCCCAAACCAGACCAAGTTAACACAGCTTGCTTAAAAACATGAGCAACAGAGAAAACAGAGTAGCCATCAAAGTCTCCTCAGGTCCTTTTATTAAAGGGAGCATAGAACCATTAAAATCTTGTAGAGTATGAAAACTTGAACATGAACCATCACAGCAATTTATGGATTATTAAATATTTTGTTATTTTGCGATGTCATAGTTTAATTTAGAGAAGCTTGTTTTTTATGGTCACTCATGACAAAGTATGGTAGACATACAAATATCATTAGCCTTTGAGCATTTGAAGTGGTTGCTGTAGAAGGAACAGTACTGAGCAATAATGTGAGGTAATTCTAAAAAAGAATACAATTAAAATAACTTGATGTT